CCTGCAGGCAAGCCCAGCTTGAGTTTCAAAACTCAAAACGTTTCGACTACCCTTGTTTCATTTTGAGACTGTTTTGAAGCCCTTCATTTCATTTCAATTTCGTTGTTTCAAGCTCAAAACGAGTTGGAACAGCGTCAAAATGAAACAGCCAGCGAAATTTCACACAACCCTACTAGGTACACATGGTCCTTGCTTAATGGAGCTAAGGGCTGAGGAGGAAAGGCCATGCAACCAGTGTGGACTTCAGTAAAATAGTTGATGAACTGTCTCATAAAATCATTTCCAAGATATCAAAATTCAAATTGATATAGCTTTGTCTCTGTCACATGGATTGAAACCTCATGGACTGAAAGGTCATAACTGGAGTATCAAATGCTAATGTGCAGCTTTACAATTTGAATTAGTCTGCCTAACACTTTTATGTAGTGACATTATATTCACATGTATTTACCTTCAACAACATCTAAAGAAGGTGTAATTGCTATAAGGACATGAAAACTGAGCCACATTATCTTGATTTCTGTTACACATGTATAGATATAGATATTGATAATGGCACTGAGCACAAAGGAAGAGTTCCTATGTGGGACCTGGATACTTCCTTCATATCATTCTTGCCTTCCTTTTCCTGAAACTGAAAAATATTCTAGCCATAATGGAATAGCAGTCAGTTATAATCAGACAGAACGGATGTTAGTCTGTTCTGTATTCACTAACTGTAAAGTTCTCAGCAATCCAAATATATGGTCATTTAAAAATGCAGTAACATAGATTGTTCATACCCGGGTGGTTCACAACCTACTTAATTCACCATGGGTCTCTGAGGACACAAGCTGCCACTCAGCTAATTCCTGGAATTTTCACTTTAAAAGGGCATTGCTTCTCCCCTCAACCATGGCATAGCATCATTTCTGTGCCGCTGAATAGAGAAAGGAGAAACAAGAGCCACATCCATCAGCTGGAGTACTTCAGCAGTCCAGTGCAGCTGGACTGTTTACTGCTGATGCCTATGCTCCCTTCATTTAGCAAGTGGAACAGATGAAAAGAATACGTGGAAAATCACATACTATTTTGAACCAGTTCACTATGAATCTGTTCAGCATTATGTGAGGACACCATACATTCTGCAACATGGGTCTGGTCAGTCCTCCATGCATCCCACACTGCATCTCTCCTCACCCCACCAACACACCCTGTTGCAACAGGCTCGCCGCTTCTGTTGGCACTAGTTAGCAATGAGTTTCCTTGCACTGTTGGCTCAATAAAAGCTATCTTTCTAACAACCAGCTGTGTCCTTACTCCCTACTTGAACACAGCCCATCATCATGTCCCCACAACCCTTTGGAACCAAAAAGTGTGAGTCCAAGCACTCCTTCCCTGCTCTCCCTGCTTCCTAGTCAGGCAAACACACAGCAGACTCCAGTTGCTTGCAGGCTATTGACGTTTGCTGAGTTGTGTTTATGAACAAGAGAATGCAAAAAAAGTGAAATCACCTCCAGCCATAAGTCACCCACACCCCGGAACTCCAAATGCATGGCTGCAAGCACTCTCCCACCCCTCTCACCCACTGCAAGGCTGGGCTAGGTACCCACTACCTCTCCAGGTGTTAGAGCCACAGCACTTAACACAACTGTGAACCAGTTCCCAATCAGTGACATTTGGGAACAATTCAATTATTGAGTTTATCTGCACCCTTAGATAATTAATCATTTCAATGCCTCCCTTGGTTTATTATTAATGCAAGGATGGACCATATCTACACTCAACCAAAGTCAGTAAAAAATGTTCCATTGATTTCCAGGGTTTGATCTGGGTCCTGTAGGATGATCATATAGGAAAATTACCCAACCGTAAAATCTTTTATATGAAAATGCGAGACATGAGGATTAAGTGCTAGTCCAAACTCTGTGACTGCTCCATTACAGGCAGAAAGGAATTGCCATTATGACTCATATCTATGGATCATTTAATCCCATCTCTGACAGTGACTATCACTAAAACCTTCAGAGGAAGATCCAGAAGAATGGTGCAATAAATAGAAGGGGGATAATCTGTCCCTTGTGAAGAGGCTTCCTAATCCCTAGTAAACACAGACAAGATTAAGCCTTGAAACATGAGTGTATATTCCTTCCAAAATGTTGTTAGCAGCTTTCAAAAAGAGGCTTGAATATTTATGAAGCTAAACAATATCCAGAGTCTGGGTTTATGCCAAGTCCTTGATCATGATCATATCTTATTATAATGTCCTTTCACTCAAAGATCTCCCCACCCAAAGTGGAATTGTCAAGGGACGCAAATAGGAATCAAATCTGTGTGAACAAGGTTGGACAACTCTGGACAGCTTTGGATCCTGTCATTCATTGCTGGACCAACATTCAGAGTCTTCTCATCTGTATCACTGCCATTTTCCTTTATAAATTGGTAACTGTGAGCAAAAAAATTGCTTCTGGATCTACAGGCAACCTCACTGGTGCAGTAATAGATAGTTAGACAAAGGTATACTTCCATTTATTCTTTTTACACTTGGTGGGTATGGCAGATCAAGAGAAACCATGCCACCACTACCCTATTTTGCTTTTGTACTGTATTTACTAGGACTGTGCAGAGCTTCAGGTAGTGATTCGATTTGGAGGAGATTTGGCCCAATTCAGTGGCCAAATCTCTGAATGCGAATTGAATCAGAGGACCAATTTAAAGGTCCAAATTGATTCAAAGCACTCTGACTCTTCGGAAAAGATTCGGAGAGCTTTGATGATTTGAGCTGTCCCCGGTGGCTGCGGCAGGGAGCTGCAGCCGGACTCCAAGCTGGTAAGTACTAGGGGTGGGGGTGGCGGCTGGAGGAGTGGGGAGCAGCCTCAGGGCTTGTGGGACTCATGGAAGAGGGGACCGCCCCCTGCCAGGCAGGAATGGTGAGTCTGGAGGGTTTTTGGTGTTTTTTTTTTCTTAAAGGGCTGGAGCTGGGGTTGTGGGGTTGGGGGACTCATGCAGAGTCCCCCATGTGGCGTGGGGCAGTGGGGGGCAGCGGGAATCGCCCCCCACCCGGCAGCACCCCCTGAGTCAGGGCTTTTTTTTTTAACAAGTGCCAGGAGCTGGGGCAGGCAGGGCAGCCATTGCCGGCTGGGAGAGGGGCGGGGGATGGGCCTGGCCTGGCTGATTCGGAGATTTGGCAGCAGCCAAATCTCTGAATCAGATTCGGGCTAATCAAATTGGGACAGCGATTCGAATCACCGAATTGAATCGCTGTCCCCTGAATCAGCCAAATCCGAAGCAAATACTAGCCGCTTCACACAGGCCTGGTATTTACCCTGTGGTCTCTTGCAGGGTTACCACATAAGACTGATCTGCTGGGTGAGAAGGCTTGGATAGGTACTCAGGTTTTTAGAGTAAATATCTTCTTCAATAAGACCTGTTTGTAGGATTCATTGTGCCCAGAAGGCTGCTAGAGTGCTTCTTTGAAGCATGAGGCTGTATAGAGATGGTAGCTTCTGTGTACTGTGGTAGTACCAGCCTAACAACTGTGCTTTCTGGCTTGTCTGGGAGGACAGGACTGACTGCACTAAGGTTACTTTCCATATTGCTTTTGGCTGAGCTCATGTATTATCCTTTTTAAATGCCATGGGAGATTTTTTTATGGTAAGGTGATTTATAAATGAGCTTGTATTACAGTGTATTAAATGACTTGCTTATACATGATTGCTGCCAGAAAGAAAGCAAGCCCTACTTGTTAAATGCTATTTTTTAATCTCTCCAAGGATGGATTTATAGACTTTTTGGAGTTCATAGCAGCAATAAATTTGGTTATACGAGGGAAAATTGACCAAAAACTGAAATGGTATTTCAAGCTATATGATGCTGATGGAAATGGATGCATTGACAAAAAAGAGCTATCAAACATATTCAAGGTAAGCATGTTTATGCACAGTAGCAACTGCACTTGACGTAGCACATTACCTCTGAAGAACTGATTTGTCACATGCTGTAATGCAAATAGCTTAACTCTGTGTTACCAAATATTTCAGAGTATAAGCACTGGATTTCTTTGCCTAGAAATGTTAATTTTTGTGATTTAAGGTGCATGCATCTGAGGAGTATTTACCTTCAGGCCTTACTTCTACAGATTTAACACTTTATTCAAACACTTTATTTAAAATACTTTATGTGAGTTATTTGCAATGGAGATGTTATTTTGATAAATAAAGCAGCATAGGAATGCAATAGCATAATGAATAGCACAGCTGGTCAATATTTTTTCTTACTTTTTTCCATAGAAAACATGGTCCTATCAAACTAACCTGTTCACAAAAAGGCTATGAATGCTGTCTGAATTTTCTTTTTTTGTAAAATTCTCTACAATAGTCTTAAAGATTTATTGAGCTAGTCTGGTTAAATTTGGTTGCTGAAAACCCATCACAGAATTTGGAAACTGAATAATAATTTTTATGAGTATTACATAAAGTTTCACAGAAAATGGATCCATTTCAAACTCTGA